TGCCCTTCCCTCCCTAACTTTCTTTCTCTCCCTCCCTCTAATTCTGGGTTTTTTTAAGTTAAGTTTTTTTTTCTAGATCATGTATGCAACTTTTTTTTTATTTAAATTATAATCTAATATTATTATACCAATATGCCCTTCCAAATTGGAGCACATGTTGTGCACGTGATCGTTTCTGTTCCAAACTTAACAGAAATAGACAGAAAGGGTTTAATTGTCAACTTTTCAGAGTTTAGAGACCTTTTTCTTTAAATTAAAATAAAAAGGGATCAAAATGTCACCTACTAAAGAGTTTAGGGACCAATAATACTAATTATTATTATTATTATTATTATTTTCCCACTTACTTGTCAACTCACTTTACCATTGAAACCATCATTTTTTGAAATTAATTTATGAGTAGCTTTTAAAGTCACTTTCTACAGCCACTAAAATAGCTTATTTGCTATTAGCCTCGACCCCCACGTGCCTCGGTTCAATGATCATATCTGAACCATAACACAAATCTTGCCATGTGATTAATTTCTGTAGAAAATTGAACGCATAAACGAGGACAAAATCTGTGATGAAAATTTTACATGAAATTGTGAAAATCAGGACAAAATCTATTATGAAAATGAGGGCCAACTGTCATCGTGCATGTGTACAAAATCACAAAAATAAAGGATTGATCGTTATTCCAGTATGGAGGGCATGAAGCCAAGATTTGCTTGAGCGCCACATAGGGATCTACAAAAATATTCAGAAAAAGAGAATCAAACGGAGGCCTCACCTGCCTCAACTTATTTTATTTTTTCGATCTGCTTCAATAATAATGATAATTAATTTATTACCCATTTCATTGGAATATATATATATTATCATTGTAGAGTTGAAAAGAATCACCCTGTGTAGAGTAATATTATTATTTTTGTTACTTAGTGAGACCAGTGTTTTGTATAGACACCAAATCAGATCATATATCTTTTTCTAAAGCAAACGGTTTGTAGCTTTTCTGTAGGAAAATGAAAAGATTAACGTGGTGATCGTTGGGATATCTATTTATTTATTTTATAGACATAATCCAATGATCAAAGAGATTTCACATATTTTTTTCCTAAAGCAAAAAGTTGGTAGCTTTGTTAGAGGAAAATTACAAGATTAACGTGGTGATCGTTTGGGATTATCCATTTATTTTATAGACATATTCCAATCAAAGCGAATTCAAATATCTTTTTCTAAAGCAAAAAGTTGGTAGCTTTTTCTTTTTTAAGAAAATAACAAGATTAACGTGGTGATCATGGTTGGGACGTCTATATATTTATTTTATGAACATAATCCGATCAAATGAGATTTTTCATATTATTTTACTGAAGCATGTGCTTATTAAGAAATTGGAACTCGCACTGTTAACAAATAATAATAAATAAAAAACCCCTCCTTTCTAGCTTAATTTCCAGCTCATACTGACTTAATGTTATAAGTCAAAATTAATTATTCCAGCGAATGATGACGCTATAGCTTCAATCCGATTAATTCTTAACAAATTAGTATTTGCAATTTGTGAGGGTCGTTCTAGCTATATACGAAATTCTTGATTAATAATAAGATAATAATAAGATAAGTAAATTATTTTTGGAACTCCATAGAATAGATTTATTGAATCGCACAAAAGAGATAAAAATAACTGAGGCTATTATGTGATTAGTTGATATTCAAAATATACAATTCAAGTAGGCAAGTCGAAAAAGAAATGGTTGAATCAAAATAATTCCTTTTAAATAAAGTTCTATTTCTTTCAGAGGCGGGATTCCTGATTATTCAGAATTTAATCGAATCTTAGATACGGATCATTCTAATCTCATATTTCCTTCTATTCTCCACAAGGATTCTGATTTATTTTTATTGGCAAAGAGGCGAAGAAATCGATTCATCATTCCATTCCAATGGATCCCCATCCCCGCGCCTCCTAACATTATTCCATCACGCTTTCATCTTCACTTAAGGCGAAGCGGGGTCAGAGATTTTTTCATACCCGTTTTATTCTCCACCTAATAAAATAACACACTACAAAACTATAGCAATCTCAAACAAAAGTCAATGGTTACACAAAACAAACTAAATTCTAAACAGATGCCCACTAAATCTTAACACAAAAACATTAAGAGAAAAAATATGTTTTAAAAGTCAATATTACACATTTTTACTATATATATATATATTGATGAGTTTTCAATAGTTACGTTTCTATCAATGGTTACCAACAAATATAGAAATTTGATGACGTATCATGATAATAATCTAATTTCATTAATTGTCATAATTATTTAGTCAATTTTTTAATTTATTACAACCGTCGGATCAATATCTTATAGTTAAAAAATAACGATAACCATTAATGGATAAATAATGAAGTAACTATTAAAATCACACACATATGCAGAGACTGGTCAAGTGCTTCCCTCGTCCCCACCCGCGATGACTCTTCGGGACAAGTTTTTGTCCCCATTCCCACCTTCATCCTTAATTATTGTCCCTCATCCCCGTCTTTTTCGGGATGGGTTCACGCGGGGCCTTGTCCCCATAAGGAAAATTGCGATCTTTAGCAAAGTTTTTCTTTGATGACCAACAACTTATGTAGTATAATTTTGACACAAGAATTGTTTTTTTTTTTTTTTTATAAAATTATTCCTTCAAAAAAACAAAAGAAAGTACGAATCAATGGCATAGATATAAGAAAATAGAGAAAATATTGCTAAAATTCATTCCATCTGATTTTATTCTGTGTTAATATTCTACAATCTACTGAACAGAAAAAACATCTTTATTCTTTGCTTGAACATTTGCTTGCAAAGTCTTGTACTCAAACTATATAATTAGATGAACAGAAACTTTGTTTTATGGTCGCTTTCTTATCTTTGGAAGATGTTCATTGACCTGCCTTTCCAAGGACACAACCTTTTGTTGTAGGTAAGTTGGCCACTGGTCCTTGATGCAAGATTCACATAGTTTCAGAAACTCAACTCCATTCTCAACCAGCACGATCTTTCATTCCACGTTTGAGAAGTTCCATTGATGGTGCTGTACCGATTATTTCAGGGCCAGTTAAACCCGGAAATCTTACTCCTCCAATGCAGACTTACTTTTCGAAATCAATGTTATGTTTTAAAAAAAAAAAAAAAAACATATCAACCAATAATAATCAAATGTTAAACTAAATTTATCATATGTTATATTTGGTGTAAATTTGGCACAAGAAATGTCACTACATTTGAGAGTATTAAATTCGTCATCGGCACATTAATTATGGCATTCCATTAGAGATACTCTAAATGTAGTCGTTTTCGAGCAAAGAAAAACAAATGTAAAATTTGTATATTATGCAACATGTTTAATTGTTTATTGCAATTGTATTTCATATATATGAAGTAAGCATGTGCATAGTGTTTTTTAAATGGAAAGTTTTCAAGTCAGAGATTTTTCTTTAAAATTTTAGCACAAGCTGATAAAATGACTACTTCTAATGAAATACTGGTGTGAGACTGCAAGATTGAATGGGCACCGGAGGTGGATAGAACTGGTGGACAATGGAGGGTAGTAAATTTTTGAAGTTGAAAGACGGAGATACAAAAGTCATATCAAGTGAGACTGGAAAGCACATTAACTAAGACCAATGTAAATTTATAGTATAACTGACTTCAACTTGATGTTACTCACTTACTTGTAACGTGCGTTGATTTGATTTGCTTTGGATGCAGATCATTTGATTCTGAGTACGATCCTCTCAGTCATAGCCGCAAGGAAGACAAACTAATTTGGTCATTTCGAAGCTCGACGTTCTTATTCAGTCAGAAGTGGATATAGACTAGTGGCACTGCAAGAGTACGAAGGTAATCGGAGTAGTAATTCCGTTGATTAAAATTTTATGTGGAAGTCTTTCCGTGGGAGCTTGCCACTGCAGAATTCTTAAAATTAAAACAGAGGAATCAATCTGCAACATGCTTTCGTCGTGAGGAAGAAAGTGAAACAGATATGCATGCACTACGTCAATCTTTGCCCGAGCGTGTCCTCCGCCTGGAGCTCAACTCCCTTTTTCTACTTGTCTCCATGATTTTGCTCATCAAAGTTTGAATTGTGTCTTGTTGTTGATGAAAGATAGAAATTTGAATTATTTATAGTATTCTGTGGTTTCTAAGAACAAAATAACGCACTTATTCTCCAAGTAGTTAGTAGCTCATTCCATGCTCCAAGACATCCAGGAGGCGGCTTTGCAAGTTTTTGGGTGTAATGAGCGTCAAAGGCAGGTGGGCAGGCAAGAACCCGGTGGCAGCCCCCAGAAGGATTGGAAAGGAAGCTTAATGTGGACGCCGTTGTTTACCCAAACTCTGACTGACGCAATAGAAATTGGAGAGGTAATTAGAGACCGACTCTGACAGGTGTACTGGCTTTTCCGGCGAAGAAGATTGAAGGCAAATTCAGCGTTTCCAAATTTCCAATCCCAAAGCTGTATCGTTTTATTGTACAACAAATCAGCTGCGAAGAATTACCGTCGTTTAGATGTGAAAATAACGTTCTCGTCTCTTATGGTAGACGTACTATCTATTAATTTAATCGTTTATTGGAAACGACAGATCGTTTCAGTATTATACAAGAATACCGTACTACATACTCGTTATTTTATTTATAGATGTTTTCTTTGACGCCGTTTTTAAGTTTGTTTGTTCTGGTGCACAGCTTCTCTTTCCCAGATGGACTATGCATGCCAATTGCCAACATAAATGAAATTTAGACACTCAAACTTTCTGTTCCATCATCACTTTGCGCCACTGTCTGTTACACAACACTATCCGATGAGATCCATCATAGAACTGAATTTACTGATTAGTTAAAAATAAAAACAAATATTTATACATTGACATGCACTGTAACTGATCAGTTAGTTTTTGCGGCCTGCTGCACTTCTCCCTCTTATACAACAATCCTTTGGTCACAAAAAATAAAGAATTCTTTGAACTCTATTGTTAGAAAATTGGCTCATACATTTCTTTAAAATGTTACAAAATCCAGAATGAACTTGGTATATTCAACAAAAATAAAACTATCACTTTGAGCTTCAGGCTCGTGGACCAGCCCAGCTGGTGAAGAAAAGATCAGAAAACAGAGATACCTAATGATGATGGCAACTGTGTATATCACAAAATAATAGAATCATTCCATAACTATAGGGCCTATACAAGATTGGAACAAGTAGCTTAGAACACGCTGAACTTCCCCGGAACTGTGTTCACTGCGCACGAGATCTACCAATAAAGGAAAGATTTGGGAGACGTACCTCTTAAATGAATCATTTTCTAAACCACTCAATACCCGCAATGCAGAGACAACCAAAGAAGTCCTGGTTGCCAATTCTTCCTTCTTTGCTGAACCCAGAGGAAGAATCCAGTGAGGAACCGGTTGATCAACTAGTCTCTGCTGTGCAGAAATGGACCCAGTGCAACTAACGTAAATTTGCAATATTTTTATGCAAGCTGTGATGAGTTCTGCTTCAACATTGATCTCCTTGCACAGCGAGGGATTATTGGCAAGTATGTTTTGGAGGAAGTTGAGGTAGTTCTGATGTGATTCATTCTCGAAATGAACCATGGGTGGTGGGGTGAGCCCCAGTATAGAGCAAGCTTTCTGCAGTTTCTTTTGCAACAATGTCTCAGAATTCAATTCATGCGCATGTGAGGCAATAGAGGAAAATAATTCCAGAATGATAGACGTGTTCGCCACTGATAGGGATTGTAGGTGCATTTTTAGCAAATCAGTAGTGACCTGAACAAAGAACAAAAGAAAAGGAAATGAGATTCGATACCAAAATTGAGAACAAAATACACATTCTCCATGGTCAATTAGGGCATGACAACATATCTTGGTTTTCTTCTCCCCTACTTGCATGTTCTAAATCTTTGTTGTATTTAAAGCGGATAAAACCCAGATAAACAACTACCTAGCAGAAACTTCAAAACATGTGCATACATCAAGAAATAAATCCGTGTACGAGGGGACAAAAGGTACAAATCAGAGAACCTGTATAATGAGAAGCTGCATAGAAATATGACTCTTCAATCTTGAAACTATATATGCTGCCGTTTGCAGATTATCATCCTCAAAATCATCATTTGTCAACTCATGGTCAGACATGTCCATGTCATTATATGATTGTGAAATGCCTGGCACATCGATGTTATCCATACTTTTCAAGACCTTCCTAACTCCAGGCGTTGCAGACGTGGTTGCCTCCTTCAAAGCTAGAAAAATCTGCCTCCATTCATTTTCTGAAAGCCTGCTGCCTAAATCATCAACTAAACGAACCAATGCAGCATACCCAGTGCTAGCCAGACCCTGAACAGGACTTCTTATGAAGCCTGTAAGTATGGACACAACACCAGGCAGTTGAGACCTCAGTACATCAAAGAAACTGACAATCAGATCTATAAGACATTCAGCTGCAACTGCAAAAGTTTCAGAATCCCATGCACTGCCTTCTGCATTTGACGATCTCGAAGTGGGTGAATTTTGGCCATCTCTCCTTGTATCTCTCTTGTCAGATACAGAATCGAATATGGGAAAAACAACAGAAGTGAAAACATCACTCCAAAATTGGCATGAGAAGAGATGGCCGTGATCCTTTAAAATGTTGAAAAGAACTTCCAAAGAACTCTTCCTGATAGCTGATCTAGGATCAGATGCGAGCTTTGACAAACCTGAAACATCACAATGTTTATGTTGTGAAATAAAAGTCGTCAATCAGTTCTTAAAGAGAACAACCAATAAGGTATTTTTATGCATATTAGCATCAGCTAAAAAAATAATCCATTTTTGAAGAAAAGCAAGTTACCTGTCAGCAAAGGAACCCAAAAGGACATGCTATCATCTTTATCACTGGAAGTGTCAACAGCCTTGTTTACTTCTGGAATGGAATCATCGACCACACTCTTATTGTTGCTAACAAGTCCCCCTTCTGCAAGTTTGACTGCGCAGAACCGGAGAAATGCAATAGCATTGAGGCTAACATCACTGTTAAATCTGCTGGTTGTGAAGGTTATGAGACATTTAACGCAATCGGTAAAAGTCAATATCTCTGTCTCAGTTATATATGGGAAATATTCTCGTACTATTTTCTCCATCGTTTCAAAGGCCAATAAAACAATATTTTTTCGCTCATCAGCAGCAGCGGCTGTGAAAATCTGATAAAAGAAAGAGCAACAAGATATGAGGAACGGGACATCCACAATGGAAAAAATTTCCCCTCCAAGCATTGGAAAGACCAGTTGGTCAGATGCTATTTTTCCCACTTTTCTTGAGAAGTTATTTTCATCCTGCTGATGAATGCTATTGTAATGTGTGTGTGTGTGCGCGCGCGCGCGCGTTTTTTTTTTTTTTTTTTTTTTTTTTTTTTTTTTTTTCCTTCTGAAAGATCAACGAGCCAACTAGAAGAAATAATGAGAAGGAAAGATCAAACAAACCTCATAACAAGCTAAGTGGAGTAAAAAGTATTTTCTAAAGTACCAATGGGTACAAATGAGCTTAATTTTAAAATTTTGACAGCATACCCAAGTCATAGGCTCAAAGAATGAAACATTCAAGCATACATAACTTTGAACCTTTTTATTGCCAGTTACTTTATCAAATTGAATTCTTCTTGGATTCCTTCCAGCGGTCCAGCTTAGAATTTCTTTCTAAAAATAGCTAAAAAAATATATACTATATTAAAACTCATAAGGTCAAAGGCTTACCATAAAAACACTTTTCCAGCCAGATTTCACATTACTGACTCGACTAAGGACCATTTGTGAAATGCAACGAATTATCAACTCCCTGATCTCCCCAGAGCTGCTTTTTTGCATAACAATCACAAATGGTCTCAGAAATTCATTCTGGAAGTTGTAATTTGCCAGCTCCTCACGTTCCAAGAATTTCATGGCCAGCTGACGCAATGAATCCATCACAAATATTGCAACTGAGAGATTTTCTGACAACCCAACTGAAACAAAGAAGTCAGAGAGAACATTCCATATGCGAGACCAGACTAATCTGATGCGGTTCATATTATAATGCCTGCAAAAGAAAAAATTCAATGAGTGCAGACTTCTCAAAAACATATAAATTATAATCACCACAACGATCACACCTATACAATAAAATTCTTAAAAGAACCAATTGGGAAAAAGAAAAAAAAAAAAAACCGAGAGTGATAAATAATCTTACGCTATTTCAACTATTTTTGTAAGACTAAATACACGAGGATCTGTTGGAGACTGCAATTCTGAAATTGCCACTTTGCATAAAGCTTTAACAAAAGCCACTATTGCTTCACTATTCAACCTTTGGCTATGGGCAAAAACGTGATTCAACTCAAAGTTGCCAATTTGATCCAGCAGATTCAAGTTTGAGATAAAATTATTGATCTGCTCTGGTGTTACCAATCCAGGAGTATTGCCTCCAGTACTGGTGCTATCATATGATCCCCCACGAACCACAGCCACCATAGCTGGGTTCTGGAGAGTCCCTTTCTTCTTTAGAGCAGGAAAACCCATTGATTTTGATATTTTTTCCTCTGTTTCCACATTCGTTCCTGTCAAAATGGATGCATCAGTTGGCGCGCCCTCTCCCAGCAGTTGCAGATGTTCAATTCGGGAAAGACATGTTAGAATGTGCTCCCATGCTTCCTGAAGAAAATTACCATCTTCAATGGCAATTGAGATTATTGCCTGTAACAAAAAATATGCAAGTTCTAGTGATGTAGGACGTTTAAACGGGACTCACTGGCTTAAGGTGAAAAAAGTAATCAGATCTTCATGCATGATGATCCAATCAATTCTGGAACCATGGAAGACAACTCAAAAATACACAGTTAACATCCTGATATACATTGTTTCTTTTGATGAGCACTAACATCTTCCATGATTTTGGCTCAAACAATACACTCTTTCATTATGATGTATGAAATATGCACTAACCTTCACAGCATCAACATTTTTTTGCTTCATATCTGCCGCACAATGGAGATAAGTAAACTTGGCCATTGATGTGACAAAAGCATCTCGCTGCGTCTGCATACCCATTACTGCAGTAACATGAACAGCATATCGAAATCCCAACAAGCAGTGAGAAGTGGCAAGTCTATCATCACTTTGGTCGAGAGTGACACTGAATGCAGCCAGCATAGGACCCCAGCAAACCTCCGCCATAAACCTTAATATAGCAACATCTGTAACAGCATGATATACAGACCTGCAACAACAAATAAATTGAAGTCCTAAGTGATCCCTAATTTGGCAATTTCACAATTCCTCTGTCATGAAGAAGTCAAATGTCACTAAATGTGACCAAAACTAATACTGATAGTTGAGATACCACAACCATCTGATGGTGATAGGTCTCCTCCCATTAAGTTTGTTTACGCTAGAAGAAGGAAGAATGACAAGCAAGGGCAGGTTGGTAATTTGAATGAGGATTAGTCTTGGGGATAGCAATTCTGTTAGAATCCCTGGTCTTGGGAATAGGGGAGGTGAGTGGCCAGTTGGTTAGAGGAGGGTAGAACAAATAGCCCAAGCCAGGAGTAGGGAAGGTATCGTGTATTTGCTGTAAGTGCTAGTCGTTTGGAGGCTTGAGGGTCCTCGAATTCTCCTCCTATCTGTATTTTCCGTTTTTCTCCAGTAATACAAGGAACCAGACCCATTTCTGGTTATTTTTCATTCAATTGCCTTATTTGTCTTTCGAATACTTAGAAGGAAATTCTTAGTGATCCCGGGAACCTAACAATTTGGTATCAGAGCCCCTATGATCCATGGCGAACCAGCAAGATCGGCTGGGTCAAGTGGAGAGAAGGCTGAACAGCTTCCGGGATACCTTGCAATCCTTCAAGACATTGGTGGATCCGGTGCCACGGTTACAGGAGGAGATGGCAACCATGGGAGTAAGGCTCGGCGAGGTGCAAGGAGAGGTCGCCGCGAAGGGAGCCAAGGTGGACGGTATTCAAGGCACAATCAACAGGCTCGAGGAGCTCATGATCAGACAGGCCCGCAACCAACGCTCTCCTCCGAGGAGGCCTAGGGAGGACTACTCGCCCCCGGGTGGAATCAGGAATGACCAAACTCCACCCAGGCGAGAACCTGGCCGACCGGCCCGAGCAGATCCCAGTCCTCCGAGGAGAGATCAGGCGAGGGGAAGAGAGGGCTATCACCGTTACCGGTCTCCAGAAAGACCCCACGCGGGGGCCGAGCATCGAGGTAAGAAACTTTAACTTCCACTATTCAGGGAGAGGATCCACACGGATTTTTCGAGCCGAACGATACTTCGCCATTAACGGCATCGAAGAGGGGGAGAAAGTGATGGCGGCCTCAGTCTGCATGGAAGGCAGGGCCTTAGGTTGGTATCAGTGGCTGGATGCTCAAGAACCATTCGTGGGCTGGGAAGACCTCCGGGAGGCTATCCTCCATTGTTTCAGCCGTTCTCGGGAAGGAGACCCGACCGAGAGAATAATGGCTCTCCGGCAAGGAAGGATGGTGGCGGAGTTTAGGGAGGAGTTTGAGTCCCTCGCAGTTGCAATGAGGGGAATACCGGAGAGTGTCTTTAGAAGAGTGTTTCTTAATGTGCTGAGAGAGGACATAAGAGCTGAGGTCAAAATGCACAGGCCCATGAACTTGGTTGCGGCCATGGATCTGGCCCAACAGGCTGAAGACCGATTGGAGGCGATGGATCGGATCTAGAAGGCTCGGGCGGGTCGAAATACCCGTACGGAGTGGGGCGGCAGAGCTGGGTTTAGCAACCCGAACCTGACCGACTCCTTTTAGCTCATTAGATAAGTTTGAGAGCTCTCTTCAATCCCAAATACTGCGTGACCTAGGGCAGCCAAACATTTATCGCGATTCGCCCACTGCCGTTGGGGCGACGGCAGGAGGCGGACCAAACTACCAGCGGCTGTTGTACGACGAGGTCCAACAGCGGCGAGCTCGTGGATTACGCTTCAAGTGTGATGAGAAATTTAGCCCAGGCCACAGGTGCCGAAATAGGCAACTACAAGTTCTTCTTGCAGTGGGTGAGGAGGAGGGTAGTGAAGAAGAGTGTCATGAGGAGGGGGAAGAGTCGACCAAAGTTACTAGAGGTTCGACGGAGGAAGCTTTGGGGCTTTCCCTAAATTCCCTCAAGAGGATGGCGACGGCAAAAACTATGAAGTTAAAGGGGGTCCTAGGTGGTCGGGAAGTGATAATCTTGGTGGACAGTGGGGCTTCTCACAGCTTCATAGCCACGGATCTTGTGCACAGTCTGGCTATTCCCACGGATTTGTCTGTCCGCCATAAGATTGAGGTAGGTAATGGAATGAGTTTTCAACAAAGTGGTATTTGCCGTGGGGTTAAGGTGTTCGTACAGGGATTTTGGGTAGTCGAAGATTTTTTTCCTTTTGAACTAGGCAGTGCGGATTTGGTATTAGGTATTTCGTGGCTGAGGACATTGGGGGAAGTCCAAGCAGATTGGGCTAAATTCACCATGCGATTCCAATTCCAGAAAGGGGCAGAGTGGATCTGTTGGACAGGGGATCCCTCTTTGAGTTATTCCCTGGTGAGCTTGCGTTCCTTATCCCGAATCTGGAACCATACCAGGATTGGGGTGTTACTGGAATTTCGCGTAGCCTAGGACGGAGGAGTTGAGGGTGAAATGCGGCCACTTCCGACGAGATGCGAGCGCCTTATCCAGGAGTTCCATACAGTATTCAGCATGCCTGAAGGGTTGCCTCCTCATCGAGCAAGGGAACACTGTATTGTCCTCCAGGAGGGTGCATCCCCGCCCAACATCCGACCCTATGGGTACCCTCAGGTTCAAAAAGCTGAGATAGAGCGACTGGTCGCGGACATGATGGCATCATGCATTATTCGGCCTAGCAATAGTCCTTATGCTAGCCCGGTACTATTGGTCCGAAAGAAGGATGGAAGTCGGCGTTTCTGTGTCGACTATCGAGCCCTAAATCAATTAACAATCCCGGACAAATTTCCGATTTCAATCATTGATGAGCTGCTCGACGAATTACATGGGGCGACGGTGTTTTCCAAACTGGATTTGAAGTCTGGCTACCACCAAATCAGGGGAGAAGACGGAATTTCGGACGCATGAGGGGCATTATGAGTTCCGCGTCATGCCTTTTACCAACGCGCCAGCCACATTCCAAGCCCTAATGAATTCGGCATTACACCCTTTCTTACGGAAATTTATTTTGGTGTTTTTTGATGATATTTTGGTTTATAGCAGGACGTGGGAGGATCATCACACGCACTTAAGGAGTGTTCTGGAGGTGCTGCAGCAGGAGGCTTTGTTTGCTAATTTCAGGAAATGTGTCTTTGGACAAGGGCATATCAACTACCTAGGGAATGTACTGTCAGCTGAGGGCGTGTCCGCAAACCAATCTAAGGTCAGCGTGATGTTGTCTTGGCCTTCTCCACGGAATGTCCGTGAGTTACGGGGCTTCCTTGGCCTTACGGGCTATTATAGGCGTTTTGTTCAGGGATATGGATCCCTCGCCCGTCCCCTCACTAACTTGCTCAAGAGGGGCACTTTCAGCTGGTCTCCCACGGCAGAGGCTGCTTTCCTCCTCCTTAAGCGCGCGATGACAGAGCTTCCAGTGCTGGCCATGCTGGATTTCACGAAATTGTTCGTCCTCGAAACCGACGCGTCGGGCAGCGGTGTGGGCGCGGTACTGATGCAAGAGGGGCGGCCAATCGCTTATTTTAGCAAGATGCTTTCCGCTTCTTCCCATTTGAAGTCAGTCTACGAGCGGGAGCTCCTCACCACTGTTTTGGCCGTTCATAAATGGAGGCATTACCTTTTGGGGCGGCATTTTCTCATTCGAGCCGATCAACGGAGTCTTAAATTTCTCTTGGATCAGTGTGTGTTGCCACTTGAGCAACTGTGCCTCATCACCAAGCTCCTAGGATATGATTTTGAGGTTCAGTACAAACCAAGTGCCGCGAATTGGGTTGCAGATGCCCTCTCGCGGAGGGGGACGATTCTCCAGTGGCGTTCGTAGCTCTTTCCGTTCCTCATCCAATCGACATGTCGACACTCCGGCAGGGTCAACTCGAGGACCCCGACTGTCAGGACATCATCACCGCCATCCGCCAGGGTCGGCCAGTTGGTGAGGGTTATGTTCTTTGCAAAGACTTGATGTGGTTTCGAGGCCGGTTAGTTCTGCCACTCCCATGGACCCCTCAGGTGCTCCACGACTTCCATAGTTTGGTCTTTGGGGGGCATTCCGGGTTTTTGCGGTCGTATAAACGGATTTCGGCGAATTTCTTTTGGAAAGGCATGAAACAAGCTATCAGGGATTATGTTTCCCACTGCGAACGGTGTCAACAAGCTAAGACCGAAGCGCTTTCTCCAGCAAGTTTATTACAACCCCTTCTAATTCCTCGGCAAATTTAGGAGGATATAGCTATGGATTTCATTGGGGGGCTTCTGAAGTCTAAGGGGATGGACACTATCTTGGTCGTCGTGGACCGCCTTTCCAAATATGCGCATTTCTATCCCTTGGCCCATCCTTACACGGCTAAACAGGTGGCCTCCTTGTTTGTTCGGGAGGTAGTTCGCCTACACGAGTTTCCCTGCTCGATCGTTAGCGATCGCGATACGATCTTCATGAGCCTGTTCTGGCGAGAACTGTTTAAATTGCAGGGAACTAAGCTTCAGCCGAGCACTACCCACCATCCGCAGACAGACGGCCAATCTGAGGTGACCAACCGCTGTCTGGAAACTTTTCTCCGTTGTTTTGCTTGTGACAAACCGCGGTCTTGGCTGTTTTTTCTGCCTTGGGCAGAATATTGGTTCAATACGTCTTATAATGCGTCCATTAAGTGCTCTCCTTTCCGTGCGGTTTATGAGCGTGACCCCCCCACTCTCCAGCGTTTCCAAGATGATTCTACCGCTGTCCATGAGGTCACCACCCAATTACAGGAGAGGAATCAAATGCTGGATGTTCTTAAGGAGCACCTCCGCTTGGCTCAACAACATATGAAAGGGTTTGCGGACAGGCATCGCAGGGAGGTACAGTTTTCTCTTGGTGACCTAGTTTTGCTTAGACTCCGTCCTTATTTCATGAAATCCCTCGCTCGGAAGGTTAACGTGAAGCTCAGTCCTCGTTTCTATGGACCATTTGCCGTTCTGGAGAAAATAGGTCCGGTTGCCTATCGCCTAGACTTACCCGCTTCTGCCAAGATTCACCATGTTTTTCACTTGTCCCAGTTGAAGCAGTTTTGGGGGCAACAATACAAGGGCCAACCACTTCCTGAGCAGTTGACAGCCGAATTGGAATTGGTTGTCACGCCGGCCGACGTTTTGGACTCTCGCACCATCCACGTCGGGGGGCGCCATGTGGATAAAATCCTGGTTCGTTAGGAAGGCCTACCCTCTTGGGATGCCACTTGGGAACCTGTTGCTGTGATTCGGGACCAATTCCCAACTTTCAACCTTGAGGACAAGGTTGTACTCGTGGAGGGGAGTAATGATAGGTCTCCTCCCATTAAGTTTGTTTACGCTATAAGAAGGAAGAATGACAAGCAAGGGCAGGTTGGTAATTTGAATGAGGATTAGTCTTGGGGATAGCAATACTGTTAGGATCCCTGGTCTTGGGAATAAGGGAGGTAAGCGGCCAATTGGTTAGAGGAGGCTAGAATAAATAGCCCAAGCCAAGAGTAGGGAAGGTATCGTGTATTTGCTGTAAGTGCTAGTCGTTTGGAGGCTTGAGGGTCCTCGAATTCTCCTCCTATCTGTATTTTCCGTTTTTCTCCAGTAATACAAGGAACCAGACCCATTTTCTGGTTATTTTTTATTCAATTGCCTTATTTGTCTTTCGAATACTTAGAAGGAAGTTCTTAGTGATCCCGGGAACCTAACAAATGTTCAACTTGCTTAGGACAGGTCGTTTGCAAAAATAAAACATAAAACATAACAGCTACTGCCTAAAAGGATGCGAAGAGGAAAAAGCCAACTCATATTGGTGAAATCAAATTATCTCATATCTTGAGATCAAATCTTTAATGCTTAGCAGCTTGGCTTACTCTGATTTTCCTGACTTTGCTTTGAATTGCTCCTGGATGTGCTTTATAAGAAGCCCATTTGCACCCAATGCCTTTTCTTCAGTCTGCTTCCAAGTTACTAGATTGAGGATACCATCCAAGCCCAGTAATTTATTAAAGCTATTTGCCTGCTTGCTTGGTGGTTCAGAAGAGTCCGACTTCATCTTAATTTCATTTTTAACAATTTGATTGTAAAGAGAACCAAGATACTCTTCAGGTAAGTCCTTGCCATCATCAATTCCTCGGTTGTTTCGAATAAAGTCAGCCTTTGTCATCTGGACAACCAACAACCAATGAAGAATATAAATGAAAAGATATTCAAACGTAATTAAAAGTTTTCTTCTGATTTATGAGTGCGACAGAAGACAATGATTTGGTAAGACAATTAGGTATAACAACGAAAATTCTTTTAATTCGTTCACCGAAAATATAACCAACCAAAACAAAAAACAAAAAAAGACATAAGTGAAACTGTGAATGCTACTAATAGAACTTTTTAGCTAATAAAAGAATGTTCAACCTATTACAAAGCTTCACAGTAAAGAAACAGCAAGCCCCGCAGTTTATAAATTTCAATATTAAAACTAAATAAATATATGCGACAGGTTCCACAAACCTTGTCTTTCACCATGTTATTATGGGCATCTGTGTTGAGCAAAATTACAGAGTAAGCAAGAACATAAGCTGTATCCGCACTGGTGAAGGAATTTGGATTGCATTTGCAATAGCGCTCAGCAAACTTCTCCATGATGCGGTCAATCTTTTGTGCCTCTCCGGGCAACCTGAAGCCTCGCAGGAAAAGCCTTATTGCTTCACCAAAATCCATCCCTTTAAAATTAAAGGAATCCACATAAGCATGCATGACTTTTAGAGGAAATTCCTCCCTATCACCCAAATAGTCACCAATCATTGACTCATTCAAGCCATTAGTGTTTTTCAGGAACACGGCCACATCTTCTGCAGAACCACCAATTTTTTTTACGCTTATCAGAAACTCAATGCCCTTTGAAGGTTTCCTATTAAATAACGAGATACCTTTCTGCATAAAACCAGTAAAGTTGTCAATACATAAAACAATATTTATTCTAACAATGGGGATATAACACAGATTGAAGTCGTAGGCAAAATGTGATCGAACACAACCCAAATAAAGGATGAATAAGTATCATTAACGAGAAGAACAGCCATTTGTAAATTAGATTCAGAATAAATAAGGGGCAATAAAACAATACTGCATTGTATAAAGTCTCAACCTGCATTTCGATTTTATAAGCTCGACGCTGCTCAAGGGTAGTAGCATCCGAAACCTCAGAATTTGCTTCTGGATGTAATTCATAATCAGTAACAGTTCCTTCTTCACCATTTTGCGTCAAATGATTCTCTACTGAAGCCTCAGTCTCGTAGCTCCTTGGCAGATATGAGTCTCCTAGTCTCAATTGTTGGTCCATCCAAGCTCCCATTGATTTAACAATAGATACCAAGCACTTAACTGATTCATGTCGAAAGGTAATATCCTGCGCAGGAGACAAGGTTGTGGTCGAACCAGATGGGGGTCCTAGAGCAGTTTTCAAAAGGCCATTGACGATCCTGCAAGTATCTGATGGAATTATAAGGGATTTAATACATTTTACTAAAACACATGCTGAAAGAGGAACAACGATGAAAAGGTTTATGGGTAGGTTGGTGGATCTCTGTGTGTGTGTGTGTGAGAGAGAGAGAGAGAGAGCAGAGGTTTGATGCGTGTAACGTGTTCTGAGTTACAATAAAAACATTGGATATCATAATAACCAACCCTACAAAGTATAGCCCTGAAATTGACTTAAATAAAAAGAATCTAAGCACAATGTCGGACAAAAGGAGCCCTAAATGCAATCGATTTATAAGTAAACTCTTATCTTTCAAATTTCAATCATTAATCACAGGATATAAGTTTTTTCCCTTCTATGTTGATCAAAGGAACTTTCTATATGCTATTCTATGTCATAACGTTCAAATAGACAACAAGACCCCAGCCTTTTAGAAAATGAAATAACTTGACTACCAGGAAATGCAGTAAACGCAGTTTAATGGCATTGGATAGCCAAGCAGATGAAAGCTGAAAAAAATTACAGCAAAGGGTAATACCTTTCAAAGATGTTTGGAGAATCGACGTCGCAGTCATAGTTGACAAAAATGTCGATCATAATCTGTGAATCCTGAGATATTTTCTCCAGTAAGTTGAGGACGGTCATTTTCTGCAGGAAACTAGGCTGAAGAACATTCTCAAGCACCCGGAGGACAAGCATTGGGAAGAAAATACCAATTTCTGCTTTTAACCCCGATCTGAATTTTGATAAGAAGTTTATGAAGATAGAACACTGAAGCTGGAAAATAGCCATTACTGACAATGCACTGTTCTTTAATAATGATAAACACAACAACTGCTTGATAGCGTTTAGGAACCTGCACCACCAAGTGAAACAGAGCTATTGGATTCTTCAAAAATGATTTTCCAAAAGTAGGAGGCATATAAAAACATGAATAAATGAATATGTATTCAGAACAACAAACATTTTGACATAAAAATCATCTGTGTGGTTTAGATATAAAGCTTCAAAGTAGCCCAGAATTAACAGCACAAATGACTTTAAAGCCTTCAAGAACATGAAATTCTACTGCAAGCACCAAAAGGCCATTTGCCCAAGTTGCACAAAAGCGTTCTGTAAGGTTGTTTGTTAAGCATAAATCCAATAAACTAACGTACTCAATTGTTTTCTCATATATTTCGTTACGGATGGAATCACTAACCTATCATTGGATCGCCACATAGGTCCCCCATTGTCCATGACCACCTTAAGCAGCTCCAAGGACAAGATTTTCCCCCTCAAGAGAATCTGATCGTCCGGGTTGTCCGGTGATGAGAATTTCATGGACAACTTACACAAGTTCTTGAAGAGCAGATACCCGTCCTCCCTAATCTTACTACCACCTCCACCTGATTCAGCTCCCTCAATTGCTTCTCCGTCCCCGGATTCGCCCTCTTTTCCATCCGGTTTGGACTCGGAAGCGTCGCCGTTCTGCAATTTTTGCGAATGGTTGACAGCCGGAGCCCCTTCACTCGCATCCATAACCTCATTGATGAAATTCTGGCAGAATTGGATAGAACTCCCTTCGTTCAAGCTCTTATCCGTCAATTCAAGCAATTCGTTGACCGAAACCCTCTTAATAGCAACGCCCATGGAGTCCTCCTCGACCCTGGTGAAAACAATGACCATAATCTGCGCGAGAACCGACTTCGCGCAGATCTGATTGGTACCGCTGAGTCCACCGAGATAGACGTTGTAGCAAGTCCTCACCATGTTCACCAAACAATCGCCGCGGATCAGCACGGACGGCGATCTAACGGCGGAGAGCAGCGCGCGGAGGACGGCAAGCTCGATCGCCTCCTCGCCGAGCCCACAGGACTTGCAGACGGCGTCGACAATCCTGAACGCGACGCTCTGGGGATCGGCGCTGTCGATCTCGCCGCGGACGAGGCCGAGGGAGAAGAGTTTAAAGGCGCATTCCAGAGCCGGCTCCGCGACCTTGGCGTAGCCAGAGTCTAGGGCGAGAAACAGCGGCTGGAGAACGAGCTCCGCATCGGAGAGGGAGAGCCCGAAGAGAGGCGAGCTGAGATCGGAGGAAGAAGAATTGGAGATGGAGTCGAGCTTGTCGAGGACCGATTTGCAGGTGGAGACGAGATTGGAATGCTTACGCCATGCGGCGTTCTTGATGATCTTGTCGAGGGAGGGGCCGAGGACCCGGCCGCACCGGGAAGGCCCGCCTAGGGTTTGCGAGGCCGACATTGTTGGGGGACTTTCTCGGGATCGGAGAATGCCAGAGGTAGATGCATTCACAGATCTGACGGCGTCGTTTCACTGGTTGGTTGTGCAATCATCACAATTGAGAAAAAAGTGAAATCCGGTGAATGAAGTGAGACGACGAAATCCGGTCGGGTTTGTGTGTTGTCGCTGTGCCAACAATTGCGTAATCGGAAATTCTAATAGAAAGGTTAGCGGGAGAGTATTAGTCTGCGCGCGCGTGTCTTTGCATTTTTGTTTTATTTTTTCTTCTTTATTTTTTTTATTTTTTCCAAAGGGAAAATGTTTGTGTTAATCTCTCTCTCATATCTAGTCAAGTCACCTGAGTTTGCGTCTCTGTCACGTGAGCTATAGATCTATGTTTTTGTTTATTTAAAAAATGCTCCCTTCTACTTTGTTCAATCTCATTTTTGTCCACACTTGACTTTTGCCCACTTGTAAAAGGCAAAGCACTTTTTTTGGATTTTGTTTCTGAGTTGGTTCTTGAATTTTTTGAATCCTATGTAAGTTTCTGTTTTGTTACTAGGGGAAGAAAGTTCGAGGAAAATGAACGCTTAATTCAAAATTGAAGTCTGATATTGCCCACCCCACAAAAAAAAAATAATAATAAAAGGACATTTCATTTCACAAGTGCGAGCAAAACACAATGCTTGGATTTTATGAAGATTATTGGTGCATCACAATTTAGAAAAGAGTACTACATTCATTCACACATCTCTCGTATTAGCTAAAATGTCAACATAAAGTATGGAAGGATGAATGCTGTTACATTGAACCGTGCATTGGCCAACATGATGCGACCCCCAAAAAAAAGCGATAATAATTAAAGAAAAAAGTCCTAGTTGAAAAGCCGATCAAAACTGTGAATTCTCAATTAGATGCTGCGGTGGTGGCCTCCACAAGTGGCTCATCCTTGATTAATGAATCCCAGTCGAGTTGCCTCAGCATTTTGAACCTTTCGTTTAATGGCACGAACCCGACTTGAGGAGCTACAACACCACATGTTCCCGCTTTATGGATTAAAGCCACGCTAGATGCCATTTCCGGACCATGGAGTTTTCCAGTCAGCAGCACTCGGAGAGGCATAAACAGTGACTTTTTTTCTACAGAAGCAAAATAAGACTTGGTTAATTATTTTTTATCTTTTTATAAGTACTCAGTTCGTCATGGATAAGGAGTTTTTCGCAAGAGAAAAGAAAAGGGGCATGAACATGAGAGAAAATCCACCTTGCGCTTCAGTGATTTGCCAAAGCTCTTAACCCACTTTTGCCAGCCAGCACTACCTTCTTCAAGTGCACTAAGGATTTCACCATTGTCATAAGCAGCCATCAGACTGGTCGAAAACTCAGAAAGTTTGTCTTCTAATATGGGCTTGGCTTCAGGACTGCAGACAACACCACCAAAATTGAAGTTATCATAAAGTGGACTATAACCTATTTATTTAGAATTCGAAAAGTCTAATTATAGAACAACAAATGAAAAACATTCAGATTTTTTCAGTCGAATAAATATGTAGCAACGCCAACTCCATAGTCTCGAGCAATCTCATAGATAAACTTCATGAGTCTATAGCCACGCATATGTGAATCATGCTGGAACCATTAACAAAAACACGGCTCAATTACATCCAATATTAGAACACTTAAGGCACTTACTGTTAACTAAATATCCTGCTATAAACGTAGTTTTCCCAATGCAAGATACATTATGATAACCAAATCTATTTAGGGTGGAAATTTTGTTGAATCATTTTTCAGTATTCGATTTTCAATGTATTAAAACCAAAATGTAAGGAATTCACCTCTTTAAAGTGTCATGTAAAGGATAAGAAAGCAAGTTTGATAGTGCCTTGTCTGAATGTGGTATCAAGTCAATCCCATCCTTGAGCAGCTGAACTGCTTCCTATTGCACAAAGTCAAATTATAAATATAGCAAATACTCAGCTTTAGACAATAAGTAATGGGACTTCAAAGCAAGCAGAGAGACGCCATGATCCCTAAAGAAATCTGATATCCTATCTAAGTGAACCCCACAACCTAACTCTATCAATTCGCGGCTTAAAGAGAACAATAGGCACAAAACTGACCACATCTCACTAGAGCATAAACGTTTTAGCTAAAGACCATAGATGCTGTGATACTGGAAATGCACAAGCCACAAAAGTGCAATTGCAATTGTAAAAACATGGTTCTTACTTCAATAAATGGCCCTTCTGATTCTGTAAGGATGCCAGTGCTTTTCCATCGCTCACCAATAAGCTTAGTCAGCTCTTCTGAGGGAATTACTCTTAAATGCTCACCATTCATCCACCTTAGTTACAGAAAGAAGAAACAATAAGTAAACTCTGTGGTAGATTAATGCTTTCTGACCTATAACACAGTACCAGCAGATGCGTCATCTATGTATCATCAATTCCTAGTTTTCACATCATAAATGGGAAAGTAAATTCTCAAGAATCAATATATTAACCACAAGCAGACGACGCCTTTCCAAGTGTATAAAAGCAATGGACGGCCAACCATAAGAAAGAAAAACACGTTTTCTTCCTGTGCAGATGGTAAATAAAAAGTCATAACATAATCACCTTAATTTGGTGGCATCAAAGATAGCACCACTCTTGTTAACTCGGCCAATTGAGAATTTTTCAACTGCAAAAAGCGTGAGAATTCAGAATTAAAAAATCAATTACATGTATCAGGATATTTAAGCCTTTATATCTATTATTTGATAGAAAAGTTTTTGGGGATGACAGAAAGAAGAAGAATGAAGGAAAGAGAGGTCAAAAGAGATTACTAACCAAGTTGCTCGAGGGTGAAAAATTCATTTTCTGTGCCATCACCCCAACCTAATAATGCCAGGTAGTTCACCATCGCCTGGGGAAGATACCCCATCTCCCTGAACTGTTTAGATGGCCATTCAAAAGGTGCAAAAAAATTATCATCGCCATAAAAGTGAAAAAGAAAGAATCCGAGAAAAGTGACATATTCTATTAAAGAGAAAACATATGAGGAAAATAATTTTAGGAAATCGGGACTGAATAAGACATGTGCCAAAATTTTTGAATAACAACAACGTGCATATTTATGAATGATTATTACCTGGCCAACTGAAGTTGCACCATGACGTTTAGAAAGTTTACTCCGGTCAGGTGCAAGAATTAAGGAAACGTGAGCAAAGTTAGGCATTGGGAATCCTAAAGCCTGTGTCAAAATGATTATATAATAAAGCCAGTTTCTCCATGTCAATGAAAATATCAAGTACTTTAAAAAGGAAAGCAAAACATGAGAATTTCAAAATTACCTTATATATCAATGCCTGCCTTAGAGTATTTGGTAAGTGCTCTTCTGCTCTGGATTTTAAAAAAAAAGAAAATCAACAGAATAAGGGGACATGTGTACAGTAGGTGAATCCGCATCATCCCACAAGATAAAAATAAAAATGAAAAACAAAACAAATGAATGAATTACGTAGGCTGGCACATAGCATATTCTTCAATATATTAAATGGTTACCGGATAACATGTGAGATTGCCATGGTAGCATCATCTACTGTGACACAAAAATTGTACACAGGCTGTCCATTGCTCCTCATAATAACAAAATCTCCAAGCGTTTCCAAATTCCAACTGACCTTCATCACACTATGAAACCGAGTTAACAGCAACAACTTCATCATAATTCAATGTTTTATGATCCTATTCACCGTCACCACGAGATTGTTCATGCAATTAAAGTTAGAGTCCCAATCCCGTCTTGAAACGTAGCGAAAACGGTACATTTAGATATTCTAACAATCTCATATATGCCATGATTGCAAGCAATCAAATCAGAAAATTTTGAGCGCCGTAGTGTTGCTACTCTTTTCGCAGTTCAAACTTCAGACATAAATGTATAGTTGCTGATTTCAAAGAAAAAGATTCAGCGGTAACCTCAACTAAATTAACATTCACTGTGACGCTATACTGGAGGGGATGTAACAAAAGAATTAAGAGAAAATTAAAAAACTATTTGAAAAAAATTCATTTCTGGAATAATATAGGACCAGAAAGAAAAATGAAATTACCTCTCCTCGGATTAGGTCATTAATTTTCAAACTCCCTTTCTTTGGCACACGGAACCTATATGTATAAGGCGTTCCCTTCTCCAGCTCCTCCTGCATTTCATCATCCATTGCGCTGGCCCACTTTCCTGTGTATACTGGAGGCAGTTGTTTTAGTTTCGCAATCTCCTTCATTTTTTCTAGTTCCTGAAGAGAATGACATTAAGATACAGAAGAACAGCACTATACTCATATCAACACGTATTTCCAACTTCCAAAACTAAAGAGGATTACCTCATTAGAGCAAAAGCATCGATAAACATGACCAGACTCCAAAAGCTTCTCTGCGTAGTGCTTGTACATAGAATTTCTTTCCGACTGCCTATACGGACCATAGTCCCCGCCAACTCCAGGTCCTAAAAGTTTTACCACATACATTAATATTACAACCATGTTGCATCACAGGAAAAACCATCTCCATTTGCCCTACCAAAAAACTTGACAGCAAACCAAAAAATAGTGGGCAAGACCAATTACGACTCAATCAAGTATAATTCAACTCCCTATCCACCTAACCTCAATTTGATTCTTATGAAGCTAAATTAAGTTCATCCAAATTGGCTACAAATAGTGGAATTTCACCGCAATTAAGTTCGAAGAATTAAAGCGTAATGCCGTAAATTAACCTAATTTCCAACAAAAACTGGGCAGCAGCTAGTACTACCTTCGTCCCAATCGAGACCAAGCCAAGACAGATCTTGCAACATTGCTTCCTCAGATTCTTTAGTGGACCTTTCCAAGTCAGTGTCTTCAATTCTCAGAACAAATTTCCCTCCTTTGGACCTGAAAACAATCGACACTTCGAAACTCAGAAAACAACCCCAAAACCTCCAAAAACTCACACAACACTGAAACCAGCTTTAAACCTGGCAAAGAGGTAATTGAAAAGTGCAGTTCTCGCTCCGCCAACGTGGAGGTTCCCGGTCGGCGAAGGAGCGAAACGAACTCGAACGTTCCTTTCTTCGCCAGAATTCTTTGCAGAGACCGAGAAAGTTCTTATCCTTCGGAAATCTTGGATTCTCTTGCTTCTGTAGAACAGCGGAGACCGTCGCAGAAATGGAGGAGCGACCTCCGGGTAAAACCTAATCCTCGTCCATGGCGCTCCCACTATGGTCGCCATTTTCGATTTCTCTTTCTCTCCTCGCCGGGGAGACTGCTTTATTTCTAGAGAGAGGATAACGAAATTATGATGGAATTTGTTCCAAAATATTTTTATTTTTTTTGTATGAAAATAATATTTTTATTTTTATTTTAAAATATTTTTAATAATACGTTTAATAATTTTATTTTGATATTATTTTTAATTTAAAAAAATTAAAATTGTATTTAATGGTTTAATTTTTAAAAATATATAATAATATTAAATATATTAAATAATAATATATTTAATAAATATTAATATACATGAAAATATGTGTCAACAACGAGAAGAAGCTCAACAACAAATACACACATAAACAACAGATTAAAATCAAACAAACACAAATTACCAACACATTCAAGGGGAGAACCACAGACATCGATCTCAACATTGAAGACCGCAAGTACTCAATGGGTTGAGAGAAGACGAGACGAGCGAGCGGAGGATCATCCTCTAGAAGCTCCGCGAAACTGAAAATAGAGAGAGAATTAATAGAGATAAATTAAAAGAAAACTTGAAAATTGAGAAAAAGAGGGAAAGAATTTCTTGCAATCGGGGCTTACTTGACAAAGAGAGGGTAATGGAGCTTGGGGTCCGGGGAGAGAGCAATGGAGTTGAGTTGATCGGAATGGCATCATATGAGGAAGGCCGCTAGGGATTTCACCGGCACCGGAGGATCACCCATTGTCGGTGACGTTGGGCTTGCAGAGACAAAAAGGAAAGGCGATGAAGCTGACACTGAAGAAAATGAAAACGAGAAAATGAAAACGAACCTCAATCGTTTTCAGAAAAAATGAGTTTTTTGGAAAAAATTCAAAAACGTTTTTATTTTTAGTTTTGATACGGATTCTTCCCAAACACATTTTCATTTCCCGTTTTTATTTTTTCTTCTCGGAAAACGTGAAAATGAAAGCGAAAATAGAAACAAATGAGCCCTATAACTGCGAATTGCCACGCGGGGCTATGCTCTTATTTATCCAGCCCCCTCAGAATTAAAAAAAAAATACAAACTAAAAAATAAAATTATTGTTAGATTCTTAAACCTCATATTAAGTTTTTAATTTGAGTTAAAATATAATTTTATATAAAAATATTTTTATTATAACATAAAAAGTTAAATGTAATTTTTTATAAAAAATTTTAACTGTAATAAAATTAAAATTAAAAATTTAAATAGTGAAATAAACGAAATCTTATTTTTCTTGAATCACAAGATTGTTTTTATTATTTTTTTCTAGTACAATGAATTATTTTATATTCTCATTTTTCTTAACCTTTACGGTCACGCGGTTAGGTATTATTAACAATAATTATACTCATCCACCAGAAAAAAGAAAGCAAAAATTATACTTTATAGTTCACTTAAATTACGTAGACACTCTCTTAATCATATATTTTTACAATAAGATCCCTCAAAATCTCAAACCTCAAATTCCATACATCTTCACCTCTAATGCAAAATGACAATATTTATCCTATATATATATATATATAATAATCTTCGTTATTTTACCATTAACGTGCAAATAATGGTTAAGAATCACTTAGTGGACGTTTGGTTCGTGTATTCAGAATTATTCTCGTTTTACGTGTATTTTTTGTGAGAGAAAACACTGTAGAGAACTATGAATTATGATTTAGAATCATAGATAGATATAGGAAACAAACGACTTCTTAATTCATTTTTCTTATTAAATAAGAATAAAATTGTATTTTAATTCTTTTACACAACTAGTCTCTATTAGAGAAAGCTACCTTTATTATAGTTTAACATTAATTATATTTATTTCCATATTAGAAAATTTTTAAATTTGATAAAATGGGATAAATTTTTCAAACTATAGGATAATTTTTAAATTTGATATAAATGGATAAATTACTCAAATAAAGATTTTCTAGTTGCAGGTTGTTGGGCGGGGTATTTTCATTATTTAAAAAATATTTAACGATCCAAGTAGATAGGTTTTTTTTTTTTTTTTTTTTTGAAAAATGTTATGATAGGTTTGACTAAATAGTAGATGTCTCATTATGAAAAGACATAATAGAAGTCTCTGTGTGGACATAAATATATCTGTCAAAGGTATATTTCTACAATTTAGGCAAAGCACGGGGGTGCCAACATGAAATAACAGAAAACTGCCGTCGAAAAACGACGAGTCGTTTTCCACAGAAGACCTTGCAAGACGCGCCGTTTGGAAGCGTCTCCTTAGACCATCACTATATCTTCTTGTTCCTGGTTCAGCGTCGTCGCCGAACATGGTTTTGGCCTGGAATTCCGACGGAAAGTCTCAAACTTTCGAGCCATTAACATGAATTCCTCAGTGTCATTGCAAGCTCTCAGTTTCTTCGTTTCTTCATCTCATTCTCTGCGACTCGCGAGGCCACAGAAATGGCGGTCGATTGTGACGATGAGGGACAGGAGCAACAATCCTAGGCCGTTGCAGAAAGGGAGAAACCTCAGCATCGAAGCGATTCAGACCGTCCAAGCCCTGAAGAGAACGCAAAAAGACCATCGCAGTTTGGAAAAGTTCTTCGATTTGAAATTCCGGCGATTGCTGAAGTTCGACATGATGGCCGTTCTTCGCGAACTCCTCCGACAGAACGAATGTCTCTTGGCACTCAAGGTTTCTGCTTTCGGTTATACATACATAATTTATATATATATATATATATATATATATATCAGCTACAAAGCACTTATTTTGTGTGATTTGGTAGGTTTTTGAGGACATCAGAAAGGAGTACTGGTACAAGCCTCAGGTCTCACTGTACGCTGATATGGTCGGAGTGTTTGGTAATAATGGATTTCTTGAGCAAGTTGAACTTGTTGGCTTGTACTTGAAAAAAGAAGAAGCTAATTTACGGCCTGAAATTGAGGGTTTCAACGCTCTGTTGAGGGCTTTAGTTAGTTTGAACATAGCTGAGCTAGCTATGGAGTGTTATTGTTTGATGAAACAGGTCGGTTGTGACCCAGATAGGTCGACTTTTAGAATACTCATAAATGGCTTGGAATCAATGGGAGAAACAGGTGCTTCAGCTATTGTGAGGTTAGATGCTCAGAAGTTCTATGGTGAATCTTTGGAGTTTTTGGATGAGATTGAAGATTTAGCACCAAAATTAGCAAATGTATAGGATTATATATTGAACAATTATTGAAATCTCTTTCTTGCTAAATTGTATATTGTCATATTGAAAAAATATTTTGTTACCGGTTGTCTACTGAAAAAAGGAAATGCTTTTTGTAGGAAATTGATTCCCTGGAATTCCATTTTGAGAAGCATTTGATGATGTAAATAACCCTAGTGAACCAGGAATTATGAGCATTTGATGATTTTTAAGCCACATATATAAGTTTTCAAAACCCACCTCTTTCTCCATCACCTATTGGGATGGTAAAATGAGCGCCTAGCCATGTGGGGATCGCTAATTAACCTCTTTTTAGTTTTACTCCATGTTAGATGTTGCATTTGCCTTTTATTTGTTTAATTAACGATACATACTGCCTAGTTGGTTTGAGAAGAAATTGTCAGGAACTTTTCCTCTAATCGTTTTCTGTCAGTTTCTAACCTTTTAGTTTACTGTGTAAAATTGTCCGTCTTTGAGCTCTATGTCTATGATGCTCTGCTGAGTTGTGGTTCTTTTAGATGCTGTATTGAGGGCTAAACCAATTAACAATGCATTTATAAAGCAAGTGTAAAGCAAGTGCAAGGCTAAGCTTAGTAAGTTAGTATACTGATAGTTTTTAGGTGATTAAAGATTCCATCCACAATTAGTCTTTACTTTAATAGCATCGTATATAAAGAGACAAAACTGGGACCTCGTGTTCCAAAATTTTCAACTATGTTATACAACTTTCGCGCTTCTTTTTGACTACAACCTGATCTTTTCGGGATAGATGAAGATAAGGCATGCCGGATCACCGTGTGAGTAAACATGTAAATAGAAGATTCAACAGTCATGAACTCGTGAACAGGATTTCCCAAAGTTTAAAGTTGGGAATTCTTGTTTCAAAAATGAGATTTTGATGATAGTATTTTAGCATTCAACTTCAAAAGATTTTCCACATTAGAATTGTTTCCCCTCAAATGTCTGACCGAATTGCCAGTCTACTGGAGCAACATTGTAAGATGTGAGTGTTCTTCCGCCGCTGGATGTTACTTCAAAAGACAGAGGTTGACGTTTTAGGTTGAGATTGCTTTGCCAGTTCTGTCCCCAATTTCTTGCCATCGGAATCCACCCTGTTTTTGACCCCTTCACTTTCACGGCCACCACTTCACCATCCAAGCCAACATTTGTAATCAAGACTTGGTAGAAGTGAGAACTTCCACTGACTGTGAATCTCACCCCACCCCTCCTCGCACATTTCACCCTATCCAAAACAAACAGTAATTCAATCAGTGCAAGATTTAAGAACAAACAAACTTTAAGATGACAAAATCTCTTTGTATTGTTTCATGATTTTCATCTTATGTTACCTCCTATACTGAACAGGAACAATATCTGCTTTCCTCTCCGCAATCTCAGCAAACGCAGCCTCCGACATCTCAAAGTGCTCCTTGGGGAAATTGCACCACCCACCATAATCGGCTGAAAGCCCGAAATTCGGGGGGCAGAAATCCGCAGCAGTGAGAACAATAGAAGGGCTTCCTTGGAGGCACCACAAGATGTGATCAACACATCTCAACTCATAGCAGGCCCCACAGGTACTCCCTCTATTGAACAAAATGCTGCTTAGTCCTGCACTATACTTCCCATAGGTGATCCTCTGAAGGTCCCCATAACCACAAGCTCCTTCTGTAACATGAATGAACACTAAAGCCTTGAGTAATAAACACTAAAATTGCAACAGCTCTGAACTTTAAGCACCATTATCAGAGAAAAGATGGCATATTCTGTAAATAGAAAGAAGAAAATTACCATTAATAATGGAACCATCTGTTTCCTTGGTATATGTTGCAGTGGCAGTTTTCCACTCTTCAGTGTTGGCAGCAGCAATCCATGCTTTAAACAGAATCAACCAAAGAATCTCTACTCTGAGGGCAGCCATGTCAGAGCGCAATGTATATGAAAGTTTTTCTGTACTTCAAATGGGTTTCTTTTTTCTTTCTTTTCTTTCTTTCCCCCTCACTCTTCTCTTTTCTTTCGTTCCTTTTTATGCAAGCTGATTGCAGGATGAAGGAAAATGACCTAAATCATCTGGCGGAGATGAAGCAAGACTTTTTGTTTTGTTGACGGCTCAAGCCTAAAAACTCTATTGTGATTTGTAAGTAAAGGTGGTAGCTCTGTCAAATGCACAAAACAATAATGTCCATGGTTCACATTGTGGGCACATTCTGCGAGGGAAATTAGGAGGCGCGTTGGTCCACAACTTAGACCATGGTAAAGAGAAGTGCTTTTTACTTTTTATTTTTTTCATTCTTCTCTTCTTTTTAGCAGGGAACCAAAACGCAGACAAGCACCAGAAAAAAATAAAAGGAAAAAAAAATGAATAGAAAAAAGTCGCCGCTTGCATTTGGCTATATATGAGAAGGGTTTCGAGGGTTTCTTGGTGTTGGCAGACAGATAAAGCAGAAGGCCCTAGAACAAGTAATTAAGAACAAAACTTTTTGAAGTTTTTTAGGTTTATTGGTTATATTTTTTAGTTACGGTAATTTAAGTGTAAATTTTGAGTTAAATTTAAGTTATAATTTAAGTTGAAATTGTAACTTGAGTTTGTGTTTAGATGTATACAATTGAGTTATGATTTGGATTGAGAATCTATTTGAGTTTGTGTTTGAGTAGGTAAAAATTTAATTTTGTATTTAAATAGTATTTTAATAAAAACTCGATGATGATAAAAAATTATAATAAGATATATGGGTGAGATTTTATTCTTCTCTTCGTTGTGAATGCATAGAAAAAATCATCTCAATCGGAATTAAAACGAAAATATTATGATGTTTTTAATAATAAAAAAATATTATTCATTAACTTGAGTTTGAGTTTAAGAACTTAAATTGAAAGGGAAACTTGAATTCAGATTTTAATCACAAATTCAAGTTAAAATTTAAGTTCAAATTTAAATTTTATAAACGAATATAAACTTAAATAAAATTGTAACTTAAATTTAAATTTTTTAAGTTTTACTCTCTAAGAGAACAAATCCTTAATTTCTTCTTTGAATTTTGGAAGAGTTTGGAGGAAAATGTCGCTTTTGTTTCGGCTCGTCTTTTAATAAATTTGTGAATTTATAAGTAATGTAATATAGCAGCCATAAGCTAGTGGCCCCATGGCCATAGTTTTGTGTTTTTTTTTTTCCTTTTTCTTTTGAAGCTTGTGTAATTTAATATGTACTACTCTCTTCAAAGGCAAAAGTTGCTTCTTCTTTCAGAGAAGTTTTCTTTCAAGCGAACGTATCTGGTCAGAGACTTTACTGAACTTCGATCAACACGTGCAAAATCCTTTCAGTTTTCATCCCTGACATAAGAGAATTATGCTACAATGGGATATAAAAATAGTTACGAAATGATACTCTACCAAGAGTCTGAAGCCCCAAATATGTTTAATGGAGGGAGAAGCCGATTGTTGTCACATTACAAAAAACGTATAATCTTAACAAAAAAACGTATATGTAGAGCTTGAACGAGACTCGTGAGGCCACATTACAAGAGTTTCAATCCACTCAATGTGAAATATGTATATGTATATATATATATATATATATATATAGAAAAAGGATTAACGTTTAGCATTCATTATTTTTACAGGGAACTAAACCAGGTAGGCACCCAAAAAAAAAAAAAAAAAGTTCGCCTCTTGCATATAACTATTGTTTTGGAATATTTTAACAATAACAAAGCTAACCAACAATTATCGTACTAATTTTGGCATTATATGCTATAACTTGCGTATAGAATTTTAGTGATTTTAATTTATGATGTTTGTAAGATATTCTAACTTTTTTGGTTGCATTTCAACATAACTAATACGGATATAATAGATTTTGTCCTTCACGTAAGATTCAAATTGGATTTTTTTTAATGTTTCACATGTACTTATTTATTTTCAGATTAGGTTTTTGCTCTTAGTCTTACATATAAGAGCCTTTCTGACTGCATATGTATCTTACTTTAATCTTGAGTGTCTACTATGAGTTTAAAATAAAAGAAACCAAATCAAATTTGAGAGGAGACTGTCACTCATTTATATAACATGTTAACATAATCGATAAGTCTCATGTTTTGAGCACTTATAATTGACCAAAAGTTTAATCAAGAATTCCATGAGAAAATAAAGAAACCGTAAATAGAAAAATAGAAAATGGCACGGAACGAAAAAGAACAAAGAAAGTGAAGAACCAAAGCATATAGTAATGGCTACATTGGAATTCACTAAAGACATACGGAATCACAACTACAAGCAATGGCATAGCCTTTGACATGTAACTTCACACAACAGGATTTCAACACAAACAAGAACAGAGCAATTTATTTAGTACATTAACTGCTCTTTCACACTAACAGTACTAAATGAAAGTAAAGTACAAAGCACAAATAGAGTCGGAATCAATTCCCACGTTTCGACCTTGGCTTCCTTTTCACATGCAAATTCTTCACACAAAAAGTCATGGCAAACCACCTGGATTTTCTTGTAATCACGACATGCCCAATAAACACTCCAACAACAAAGCCGCAGCCGTACCCCATCGCCACAACTTTCCAACCGAACTGAAAAGGAGACCCTGAGTGATCTTCTTGCTCTTCATCAAACGACGGAAGCGGCACCAGTCCTGAGGCCTCGGAGTTTCCACACTTGTTTGGCAATGGAATTCCACACAATCCCAAGTTGCCCTCGTATGAACTGCTCCCGAAGGTCATCAAATGGTTTGCTGGTGGTATAGGCCCTGCGAGGTTATTGTGAGAGACATTGAAGTACTGAAGAAAACTGAGCTGCTCCAGCACCGGAGGGATCCTTCCCGAAAGCTTATTTTGCGAAAGGTCCAAGGATTCCAATCTTTTTAGGTTTGCCAAGGCCGATGGTATGCCACCCGTGAGATTGTTGTTGGATAGATCGAGAGCATAAAGCCCATTTAGGTCTCCGAGGACTTCTGGAATTTCTCCACCGAAGTTGTTGTTTGAGAGGTCTATGAATGAAAGATCGTCATTGATTTCCGGATAATATCTCCTCACCCCTTTTATTGTGATAGTAATTGTGAAGCCAAAGAGAAAAGTCACTTCATTACCACCGCTTGGCCTTAGTGTATATGTTGTCTCCATGTAACGCAAATCCCCAACGCTACTGCTTTTCATGGCCTTCAAATTCTGAATGAAATTAGACGGTAACATTCCAGTGAAGTTATTATAAGATATGACAATTATACGCAACTTTACAAAACCAAGGTCGGTTTGAGGTGCCTTGATTACTCCATGGAATTTATTCGACCCCAACACTAGAATTTGCAGCTCTGGAAGAGACTCCAACCAATAGGGGAAAACATCATTGAGCTGATTGTTTTCCACAGAAAGGGATTCAAGCATCTTGCAATTCGCCAGTGACCGTGGCAATTTCCCTTGCAACTGATTATGACTTAGATCTATTATCCTCAATTGGTTACCCTTTGCAAATGTAGGAATGCTGCCGGAAAAAGAGTTATCTCTGAGATCCAACGCCGCCAGCGAATCACTGAAGTTTCCCAAACACAAAGGAAGCTCACCAACCAACTTATTTCCGGACAACCTAAGGACCGAAAGGGAACTAAAATTGCAAATGGCTCGTGAAAGTTCCCCAGTCAAGGAATTTTCAGCGACACTTATGCCTAACAATGTCTCCGTGCTCATGTTCATCAGCCATGCAGGAATCGGGCCACCAATATGGTTACCTTGAAGCCGCAAATTCTCCATTCTTACTTGATGCGTCAGGAAGTCGGGGAAACTGCTTAAATTGCAAAAGGACAATCCTAAAAATATGTATTGTGGAGGAGGTCCGTCTACACTAGGTTTAATGATCAGTGAGAGGTTGTTGTTCGACAGAGATAGCACTGTAAGATTTTTGAGGCGAAGAAACATATCAAAATCCACCGTGCCACTCAACTCATTTTTAAACAGGTAAAGAGATTCCAAATTTATGAGTTTTGAAAATGATAATGGAATTGGCCCGCTAAAATGATTTGAATCAAGGTCTAATTCAATGAGTTGGGTAAGGTTTCCAATAGAGGAAGGGATTGGGCCGGAGAAGTTATTTATAGAAAGGTCTAGATATTTGAGATGCGTAAGATTTCCAATGGAGAATGGAATCTCCCCGGATAGGCCGCAGTCGTAAGCATGAAACTCAGTCAAGGAATTCAAATTCCCAATTGATGTAGGTATTTCCCCCGAAAAGCTATTTGATGCCAGGTTCAATACGTTTAAAGCACTGGTTTGGTTAAATTGAGGCAATTCACCAAAGAAATTATTTGACTTCACATTGAGAATTTGTAGGCTAGGCAATTGAAAGAGCTCGACAGGGAGCTTACCTTTCAGTCCGCACCCTTTTAGGATGAGAGATGTCAAAGAAGAAAAGTTTGCGAGTGAAGTAGGCACTGTGGATGATATGTTGACAAAACTCAGAGAAAGTTCTTCTAAGTTTGTCAAGTTTCGAATGAGGCTACTGAAATCAGGTCTTTTGAGTTCCAACAAGCCCAACAAGCCTTCTCGAGAATTAAAATCATAATTGCGAGACAGATCAAGAGAAGACAAGTGGGATAGTCCTGAAATTTCAGATGGGATTTGGCCAGAAAATAAGGAGTATGAGAGGTTGAGATAAGTCAGCATAGGAAGATGGCTGATAGCAGTTGGTATTTGAGAGTAATTGAAATTGTTATCAGCAAGGTTAAGCCTCTGAAGGTGAACCAGTTTGAAAAGGCTGCTGTTAGAGTCGATGTTGCCATAGAGAAAGCTGCTGCTCATGTCGAGACTGATCACATGGCCGGTATCTTCGTCGCACTCAACACGGTCCCACAAGCAACAATTGCTCGTCGTCCGTCCTTGTGCCCAGGAAGCAACCTTCGAATAAGCAGAAGGATCACTAGAAACAGACTTGTTAATGGCAAAGCTTGCCTTAAAATCCAACAAGGATGACCTTTCATGAGCACGGCAAAGTGGGTGCGCGGAACTGAAACGTGAAGTGAACAGGAAATAAGCAAATATGAGAAGACCAACAAAGCGCTCTTTTAACATTATGAAAAAAAAAAAGGATCCTTTGATATGCGATTTGTGCTTTTAAGTTAGAATTGAAACTTAAAGCTGGTCTTTATAAGGGGAAAGATGCTAGTGCCTAGTATGCATGGCTAGAGGAATTTGCGGTATTTTAAAATATTGGGCAGACAAATATGCCCGTTGACGTTGTTGACCTTTTCTCAAGCAGTGAAGAATTAACTACTACAGCATTTTTCTACCATTTTTCTTGGCGTAGGGAAGAAAGTCTCAATAATAATAATTAATTAATTAATTAAAATTCAAAGTCTTTATTGAAAATTGCTTGACAATGTCAGCAAAGCAAGACAAAACGATTATAAATGTACATTTGCAAAAAAAGAAAAAAAAAGGTTTAAAACCGGAAAGAGAGAATAGAATGTAAAATAGAAGTTTTTTTTTTTTTTTTCGAGAAGAGAGGTAAAATAGAAGTTGTATACCAAGAGATTAAAAAGAACGAAAATAGGAAAATGTTTGGAGAGAGAGACTTATTCAACCGCGAAATAAAAAAATAAAAAAAAAAAGGAAAGGGAGAGAGAGAGGTGATATAATGATAGAGGGACAAACGGTTATATGGAAGCATGAGTTTTAGGAATTTCTATAGGCATTTTTTCTTTAGGAGATTTTTTGGTACGCCTGATGTATCGATAGATTATGTTTTTTTTAATTGTTAAATTTGTATATTTTTTTTTAATTTTTACGTGATTTTATGTTGATAACATAACCTACTAATATGTTGACGTACTAAAAAAGGTTAAATTTTCTTTTCCAAATGGAGCTTGAATTAAACTAAAATAATAGTACAATTACATATTCTCGTATAAATTTTTTTATAACTATCTTTACAATATCCAAAATTATAAACTAACTAAAAAAGTATTTTAAAAAATTGTTGGAGAAACATTTTAATATCTATTTGATTTACGTGTTTAAGTTAATAATTCTAATTTAGGAGTAAAAAAAAATACTATAACAAAATTAGAATCAGGATTTGAATAAAGCATAAAGCAAAATGATAGGCATGCGATCATAATTTAATACTGTAGAAGACACAAATCGTTATTGACTTTTCATCTATACATAATACCTTAGATAAATGAAAGGTGAGTTTGTGATCGAAATTTATCACTACAAAGATACAAATCAAGTCATTTCCCTGTTATTTACGGAGAAGAAGGAAGGGTACACTAGACTTGACAAGTGAATAATTTGTTGACAAGTGAGTTTGACATGTCATCTCAAATACTCTTTAATCAAGCTTTACTTGTCCCAATGAGATGTTAGTAGGAAATTGGAAGTCTAATGATGCTAAAGACCTAGACAAGTCAACCTAGCCAAATGTTGACATGTCGACTTCTTCAGCAATTAGTTTGATAATTGTTAAAAGGGAAAAATAAATGAACAAAATTATGAGGATTAGTTTGGCCCCATTTAGACATTAGTAGTTCCACTTTTGTAAGAATTTCAAGTAAAAGGAAAAGCATAAGCAAAAATAAATAAAAATTAAAATAAAAAAACAAAGATGAAAACAAAAATAAAATAAAAAACCAAAAAACAAAAGCTAAAAATCCTAGTTATTTTAAATAACTAATGTGTTCAGTTTTTGAGCAAATCACTTTCAAGACATTATGTGCACAGGGCTTTTAGAACTTCCAGAAATAATAATTTCATCTCAATGCATTCATGTTTAGTTTTTGACACTAGTTAGAAGCACACACGTGTATATTTCAATTTATTAATTTTTTGAATATGAGAATCTAAAATTTCATTAAAAGTTTTGGTTCTTTTTTAATATAATTTATGCAGATTCGGCGGATAAAAAACTTGACCTATCGATATGTTGTCGCTCTGGAGAAAATCTCTTTTTCTTTTCCAAATGGAGCATGAATTAAACTAAAATAATAGTACAATTACATATTTTCGTATATATTCTTTTTATAACTATCTTTACAATATCCAAAATTATAAACTTGTATAATAATATTATTGATTTTGGTTTATTTGGCATTTTAAAATTTTAAATAAGAGGTACGTAAAAGTTTTTTTTTCGAATTTGATACTTAAAAGTTAAAACTTGAGGATTGAAAGTTTTTTTAAAAAGTCTCCTATATATAACGTAGTTATAAAAGTTAATGGGAAGCAAACTAACCAGAAAAGTGTTTAAAAAAATTGTTGGGGAAACATTTTAAGGTCCATTTAGTTTATGCGTTTAAGTCAGTGATTCTGATTTATTAATATAAATTTTGTGAGAGAAAAAAATTTTAAATTTAAATATTTTTGAAATATAAAACACTATAATAAAATCAGAATCAAAATTCAATGCATAAAGCAAAATGATAGAAGATACAAGACTATAAAAACTTTAAGTGGGCATGCGATCGGAATGTATCACTATAGAATATGAGTATCTAAAATTTTTCGTCCATAAATAATACCTTAGATAAATGAAAGGTGAGTTTGTGATCAGAATTTATCACTACAAAGATACAAATTAAGGACCCGTTTAGTTTGCTGATTCGAGTTTTTAATTCGAGTTGAAATGTGACTTTATGTGAGAGCTTTTTACTTAGCAAAAAAAGTAGATGTGACTGTTTCTGAAAAATTTTTACTGTAGCAAAACTCGAATCGGTGAAATGAACAGAACATAAGTCATTTCCCTATTACTTATGGAGAAGAAGCAAGGGTATTTTGACATGACATGTCATCTCAAATACTCTTAAATCTTATTTTTTTTTGTGAGTCAAGCTTTACTTGTCCCAATGAGATGTTAGTAGGAAATTGGATGTCTAATGATGCTAAAGACCTAAACGAGTCAACCTAGCCAAACGTTGAGATGTCGACTTCTTCAGCAATTAGTTTGATAAAGGGAAAAATAAATGAACAAAATTATGAGGAATAGTTTGGCCACATTTAGACATTAGTAGTTCCAGTTTTGTAAGAATTTCAAGTAAAAGGAAAAGCATAAGCAAAAAAAAAAAAAAAAAACAAAGACAAAAACAAAAATAAAATAAAAAACCAAAAAACAAAAGCTAAAAAATCCTAGTTATTTTAAATAACTAATGTGTTCAGTTTTTGTGCAAAAGACTTTCAAGACATTATGTGCAAAGGACTTCCAAGACACTATGTGCAAAGGGCTTTTAGAACTTCGATAAATTTCATCCCAATGCATTCTTGTTTAGTTTTTGACACTAGTTAGAAGCACACACGTGTATATTTCAGTTTATTAATTTTTTGAATATGAGTATCTAAAATTTCTTTAAAAATTTTGGTATTTTTTTAATTTATTATTCTCTTAAGAGTTTAATTTTATAAAATTTATTTTTAAGTAGAGCACATTTAAATGGAAAAAATAGATTTTTATTGCAACGAATTACCCATTGAGTAATTTATTGGATACGTATGGAAAAAAGTAATTGAGAGCGTTTGAAGAAAAAAAATGTTTGAGTAGGGTAATGATTTAGAAGAAGTTATAACTTGTTTCAGTAGGGAAATTACAGAAAAATAGTTATGAGGACCATATTTAAGAAAAATGGTTACCTACAAGAAAAATGTTTAGGCAACCACACATTTGAGAAAAGTTATTTGATGATACACATTTCAAATAAAAATATATGGAGATTCTCTGGTACATCGACGTACTAATGTGTCAGATTTTTTTAATTATTAGATCTGCGTACTTTTTAATTTTTACTTGATTTTATGCAGATTCGACGAATCAAAAATCGGTATGTTGGTGTACCGAAAAATGTCTCAAAAATATAAGATTGCAAATGAAAAGAAAAAATCGAATAACATATGAAGAGAAACAAAACAAGCCCGAGGAAAAAAAAAAAGAGAAGAAAAAATTGACATAAACAGGTATAAATAAAACTCTAAAAACCAATTAAAAAAAATTGTAGATGTTGAAGCCTCTCGAGGTGAACCAATTTGAAAAGGCTGCACCGTCCCACAAGCAACAATGAAAAAAAAAAAAAAAAAAAAAAGGAAAAAAACATAATAGAATTTTTTCAAAGAAGGATTCGTTGAAACAAATGAAATCTAGTCCTGGCTCAACTAATTAAACTTCGATCAACACGTGCAAATCCTTTCAAACAAATGAAATCTAGTCCGGGTTCTACTAATTAAACTTCGATCAACACACGCAAATCCTTTCAATTTTTATACCTGAACATAAGAGATTTGTGCTACAATGGGATCTAAATATATAAATCTTAGGAAGAGTAATCAAGTCAACGGAGAGAGCTAAATCCTTGAAAAAATAGTTACAAAATGGAGCAATGCTAAGGACGTCAACTCAATTCTCAACTTTTGTGTACCACTAATGTAGCATGTGAGTTGTTATTTCTAAAATATTTTTAATTGATAGGGTACAAGAGATTGACGACCCTACATATGTGATTGTCACGGTACTTTAACATTTACATTACTGAAATTACTTAAATTTGCGGAACATTTTTTTTAGATAAACAATTAAGTTAAATTACCACTTTCCTTTATTGCAACAAAATTATAACTTATCATATTGATATATTCATCATACTTACATTAAGTCTTACTATTTACGTATATTCTAATAGTCATAATTATTAAAAATATAAGACGATATTTTTCAAAAAAAATCTTTAACTTAAATTATATTATTTAATTTTAAAATTTTTTCGGTCAGTACAAGAGAAAGAGAAAGCTTAGAGAAGGTTATACATCTTAAGAACAATCAACCACCCAAGTTTCTATCAATAGTCCTGATTTTCAAGTACAAATAATAATAATAAATAAATAAATATAATCCAAGGTCTTTGTTGAAAATTACATGACAATATTAGCAAAGCAAGACAAAACGATTGTAAATGTATATTTAAAAAAAAAAAAAAAAAGTTGAAAACGAGAAAGAGAGAATTGTTCCAAGAGAAAGAACGAAAATAGGAAAGTGTTTGGAGGGAGAGACTTATTCAACCGCGAAATAGAAAAAGGAAAGGAAGAGAGAG